TTAAATCTCATGTTACAATAATTGGAGAGCAATATACCTGCAGTTATTATATCGGAGCGAGCGTGGGCTGGTAGACGTCTGCTTAACTGAGCTTAACGAGTCAACAAACTACTCTCAAAATAATACATAGGTGCTCGTAACAATGTACAAAATTCTTCTACAGAAATGTATATGATTATTAAAGTAAATATAAGATAAGTGTGAGAGAATAATGCTTCGGCTCGAATGGGCCGGCTTGACTGGAGTGATACCACGGCCATACAGAAAACTGCGTGAAGCAACACTCACGTTGTGTTTCGCCGTATGAGTGAGGTTACTGGAGAGCCAATCCTTCCTATCCTCAAATTCCTAATGACCCACAAGATGCCCGCAACGCACTAGTAGTAACTTCTTTGGTACTACAAGTATCCATGGACGGCTCTGATGGCTTTTTTTGGTGTCGGGTTGGAAAATCCTCTTGGAGATCCATCGCCCTCAGCGGAAGGGCGAAGGGTATTGTCAGACTCTCACTGACTAAAAACCAACCTGATGTTCCTCCATTTACCCATGTGTCGGAGGGGCGAGTATCGCCGAAGCATTCGTCGCTTGCCCCGGCGGGCTCTGATGGTAAGCCATCAGATAATCCGTCTGCTCGTATGCCGAATTTTGACATACAAAATTCATTTACAAATAGTACTAGACTACTCTTTAAAATTTATTCTTGGTTTCAAGAAAACTAATAGTGACTTCCTGCAGATTTTTGGTATAAAAACTATCCTATGTCCTTTCTCGAGCTTCAAAACTATGTCTGTAGGTACTAAATTTCGAAAATCGGTTCAGTAGTTTAGGCGCGAAGACAAGACAGCCAGACAGAGTTACTTTCCCATATATAATATTAGTTTGGATATTATCTTAAAGAGGGTAAAACAAATAATAGAAGCAGATGAAGGAATATTTCCTTATTACCATACGTATTCGTAACAATCATTAAGTTTGGTAGTATTGGTTGGAATCCATTGTTTGTTTTAACAAAAGTACGTGTAGTACGACCTCTTCAGGAAAACACAGGCTTGATGTTACATTACATAATACAATATCGATACCTGCTAGCCTTAGGTATAGATTTCTCGAAATTATATTTAGTTTTCAGATAATAATGCGTAGGTTTTGGCCAATATTGAGTACATAAGTTGTAATAAATACGTTTGCGATCAGTATTTGAGTATTCCGATTGTCTGGTCAGATTTTTGTTTCTTAGAAGAGTCTGGTTTGCGTGGTGTATTCATGTCCACCTACATAATAAGCGGTTTCAGGCTTACTGTGCACTTTTCACTTGGGTGGGCCATATATGTATGTGGATTGTAAAGTCACAATTTTCATTTTAATATGCTCCTAGCATGTGAACTCTTGTGACTTCTTATTTATACTTTCTAGTTTATAATCTTTATGTTATTGTTTGTATATGTATGTATGTGTAGGCTTATATACACGCCTATGCCAGAAACGAGTCGCGTTGTTGTATATGAAAGCATATCTTTCAACATTAAAATACAAATTATTAATGTCACATTTTCAAGTATAATGCAAAAGTGGAAATACATAGCTTCACTATAAAGCTACTGACGAGCAGACGTTTTGCCTGATGATAAGTAAACAGCGCCATGGATATCCGCAACAACAGAGGAGTTACGAGTGCGTGGCCGATCTTAGACCGTATATTAGGGATTCGAAGATTTAGGGATTGGGGGAGGAGTACCTAGTATTGGGCCTCCGGTAACCTCACTCACACAGTTAGTAGAATCCAAATCATGTGTCTTTATTAATCGTTTCACAGATAAAAATACGTTGTGAATTGCGCTTTGATCGATGTGTGTGATAAGTAAAGTAATATAGTAGATCACACATGTCGCTATGCGCCGGCGCACCTGCTTGTGTCACGCACGACGCGCGGCGCGTACGCTGACTACCGACATTGTCCTCACAAAGAACACGCATTATAACTGAGCCGCAGCATTTAGTGGAACGATCAAAGGTTACCTACATTGTAAGGTTAAAGTTCATTTAATAATAACTCATAATTATTTAATGTTACTTAACATTAGTCATTTTACCGTTAATTTTGAAAATAGATATAATATTTTGCCAAGTTACCTACTACCTAATATGTCGTCGATGGAATATTATCTTTCATTTTAAGAATGTGGTATTGACATACCTATGTTGTTATACTTTAAGTACGGTTTGCGGTGTAATTACATTCTTATTACAAATTTAATTAATTATTTAATTTCTAAAATCATTGTTTAATGAAATAGGTACCATGATGATGACTAACTTTTCATTTAGCCCTGTAGGTACTCGATCGACTCGAATAATAGTAAGTAGGTAATAAAAATTCGAAAACTTTTAGTTTTTTATAGACACAGTTTTCTTTCGTATAGGTTGTACGAAAACAGCCTCATTGTCTATAAAGGCTTTGAATTTAGAACGTTATTATTTTATTTGAAAGACATTCTTTTTTACAAATTAATTTACCTTACGTAATATTTTTGCTTTTTTATCTGGAAAAAAACAAATTTCTCAAATCAGCCAGCTTCATACGGATTTTCGTAAGCCTCTCCAAGACTTTATAGGTAATAATTTTAAAACCTATTATTTGGTTGTGGGAGGCAGCAGTAGCAAAAAGAAATCCTTTTTTTGCGGGTTTTTAGTTATTTCGAAATTTTTGGTTACCTTTTTTTTTTAAAAGAGAATGCCAATTGCTATGTTTTTAAATATCTACTGACAATATCTACTGACAATTTTAAATATCTACTGACAATATCAATGAAGCTTTTTTCTTTTCGTAGGTTTATTTTCAAATAATTTACGTATTATAAATTATGTTGGTAATATTTAAATATTCGACAGCACTTAAGTTTCTAGGAAAAAGAAATAGGAATCTAATACTAGGCCATTTAGGGCGTACAAAGTTTGAGTGCTTATTAAAATAAAGGGGATGTAAAGTTCAGGGAAAATTCTGAGAAAAAGCCTGATAGGAAAATTTTTGTGAGGGGTTTATTTTTCTACAAGACTTAAAAATAGAGCTTCTTCTACTTATTTTAGCGATCTCAATCTACATTAGGTGCCTATTAATGTTATTTTTTGTTATGACCTATTTTGCTTATTTATTTCTCATTTAAAAAGAAATTAAAAAGTATTTATAAGTATTGGATTCTGGATTCAAATATTTTCCTTGCCTGTTTCTTTAACCTCCATTTATTATTTGTTTTTTTTTACCTTTTTTGAGATGGGTATTTTCAGGCGACTCTTACTGTTTTAACCAAACTGTGCCTTTTCCTGATCTGGTCCGGATACCCATTACATTATTGTGGTTACACCGACTACCCCGGCTGGACATCGGCCTTGGGGGCCCTATCTTTTGAGGTCTGGTGGTTCTATGAGATGCACGTGTAACCTAAGCTTACATAACGACTATTTAACTTAATTTGTTTAATGGCGACAGAAAATAAACTTTATTTTAATATTTTTTTTTGTCGAAAGGCAATAAATTTGTATGATATGAGTAAAATAGAATTATTGTCATCGCCTGTTTTATGCAAATCTGTTTTAGCTACTAAAATAATTTGTTCTTTTCTTACCTATTTAAAACTTTTTTCCATACTATATGATGTTTCTCTGATTTCTTTGAATGCCGCTTCAAAATTGGCCCTTTGTTTCAAATTAATGTTGTTAGGAGCATCACACATCTACAATATTTGTTTATAAAATATAGTCCTTAATTTATTTCAAATAAGTTTACCATGCATTTAAAAAGGTTTTCGTCAAGGCTGTGTTGGGATGAAAAAAACGTTTGATTGTGTTGTGCGCCTGAGCGTGTCCAATCGATCGATGGCCCTTTGCGAAGAGTTCAACGCGATGGTTGGTTCACAACCTACGAGCAACTGAACAAGCTCTCTCGTGTACAAGATTATGTACCTATTTCATCATAATATTTATAATAATCGTTATTTTTTGGTATTTTTATCGAGTAAGTTGGTCAATATTTTTGAATTTGTTACATCAGATAAACTATAATGCATACCTACGCCTGGTTTATCAATATGTTTCTAAGGTTTTAATAATCTTAAAATGGACTAAAGAGTCCATATTGAGTACAGTTTCCAACAAAAATGTTGCCTCTGTTTCCAAATCACAGGAACAGCATCACTTTGTAGTACTATGTTGAAACGGCTAATAAAATCCAACATATTTTTGTTACAATTGTCTGTTTGTCCATTTGTCGCAAGGGGTCGGCCATTATTGTGAGATAAGTCTTGTTAAGGCTTATCTTTGTTACCGTTTCTTTACTACACAATGGGAACCAGGATTACTTCTAAGTGCTCAGCTACCGACAATTGTATTTACAATTTAAACGTTTCTACACTTTCTACGTTTTTTCGTAAAGTTGTCTTAATTTTAGGTTCTTAAATAAGCTGTTCTGAAATTGTTTAATTTTGGTCATTATTTATGATTAGGATGATGAAACGGGGTAACGCAGATTTCCTAAACTCGATGCAAGTGAGATAAGTATTCAAAATAAAAAGTAGAAAGGTCCCGAAGGTAGGTATCACAAGCTCGAGGCATGCCGTGACGTCAGCGACATAGAATTATAGAACCGGTTCCAGAACCTTTCCACTGGAGATGTGTGGGAAATACCTGTTGTAGAGAGTACATGCAATTATACATTGCACAGAGCACTGGCAGTGCACACGAGCGCCCCGAGCCTGGCAGGGCCGACACTCAATGGGCGACCTGTCCACCGCTGCATCGTCACGGAAGTAAACTTTCATATTATGTTGAAACGGCGAGCGCACGTCCGACTCTACATAACAGCATCTCTCGAGCTGATTGATAACTTGCGAGCCGTTTAACAGTTGCGTTGCATCATGGGTTTACGTGGCGGAGCGCGACGGCCGCGGGCTACCGACAGCATTCGGTGGCAACGGCCAGCGCTCACACAAGAATTCATTTGGCCCGAGAAGTGTTCGGTTTCAGTCTGGCACGACGAGCGCTCATATTGCATTTAGTATTTATTTATGTATCGGTGGAGCGCAGGTTCTATCGGTGGCGGCGCCGGGCGCGCGGCCCGGGAGGGGGGCATACTTACTACGTGATTAATCCGCGCCCCCCGCGCCGCCGGGCGCTCCGTACTCGCGCCGGGTTTCCTCGTCCCCGCGCCTCACGGCCACTCACTACGCACGGGGCTCCGCGTAGTGCCGCCGCCAGTCGCAGCGCGACCCGCGCCGACGTCGCACTCCGTTTCGTTGTCGTCGTCAGATCGACCCATGATATCATTCATGCTAATCTCCGCCCGTTGATTTTCCTGCCGAGTGACCGCAGTGAAGCCGGCGCGCTATACCGCGAGTGCCGAATGTTCGTGGACGTTACGCCCGTGTACTTTTCCATCGGAATCCGAGCGTACGAAACCAGTTCGGAGTGTCGGACGGCGGTGCCTTCCCTCGGATGAGATCTCCGACCGGCGAACGTTGCTGTGACCTGCGGCCTGCGATGCTGCGCCCGTGACCGTCTTGCGACAGTGCCACGAAACGTAAGGATCTGTTAGTTGATTTGGCGACTCGCGTGCACGGGCCGCCTTCCTATTTGCATGGCGCATACGAGTGGATTTTATTTTCGTCTGGGGAGCGGTGTGTGCGTGCCTGCGCGAGTGTGCGGCAGCGCGGGTGTGTGCACCGCGCGTGTGTGCGTGTTCCGCGTCCGTCAGCCGCTGCTCCCTGCTGCCCGCTTTATTTAGTTTGTTTCCGAGCGTATCGCCACCTCGCCACCTCGCCACCTCCTCGGCCTGGCGCCTGCCCACTGTGCCCACCGTCCTCTGTTGTTGACAGAGTCTGCTACAATGTATGCGCCAGCAGACAGCCTCGCTTCTCAATGTCCTTACCTTCTACAAATCATTCTTAAAACGTGATAAAAATGTGTGCGTAGGAAGGAAAAGTACCGAGTAATATTGAAACGAAAACAACCATTCAACGCTATTCCAATGGCCACGAATTTACTTTCAAACTGATCTTCATTGCATGATAAAACACCGGTAGCATTTTGGAGCAACGAGTTTTCGTATCTGGCAACTCATGGTATGAAAATAAGTAAACCGGTCTTATTATTATGTCACTATGTTGGCAACATTATCATTCTCCACTATTCATTGCATGTCAATGATCTTTGTGGGTACAGAGGCCACTTATGTGCAATTTTGACACATTGTACTCTGACGATGCGTTTTTAAGGTGCTGCAAGTGATTTATTACGAAACACCTTGATTAAGTGATATCCACGATCCACGTGATTGGTATTAATTATGTATCAGCTAATTAACGTGTAATAGAGTAGCTCTAGGTGTGTGTTGACTGGTGCATGATCTACTATCTCCGCGTGACCTTTTGGACGAGTGTCACAGCGCTACAAGCGTGATTTTGTTAAGCATTTCCAAAGGACGCTATAAACATGGAAATTGATGTGGGGACTGCTCAATATACGCACTTTACGTGGCTACATTACATGTTATTAGCCTCATTTTAGACTTTTAAAATACTCTTTAGACATCACGTTGCTTTTAACTCTACATACATAAAGTTCCGACAAAAAATATTTACGTCAATAATAAACACATAGACTGTGACGTGTTTTGTGATATTCGTTCACTTGTTGAGCGGTTAGCCGGTCATTTTACCAAGAAAAAGTAATCAGCTTGTGTATTTATACAACATTGTCGTACTAATTATCTTGTAGGTATACAGTGTAACCGCAAGCATATATTGTAATTGAGGGAATAATAGTACAAATCAGTAATTAGCGCGAGTAAATTATTAGCTTTGTAAATAAAGGAACACTACTGATTGTGTGTTACTTGAAGGAATAACTGTTAAATAATTACTGTCACTGTGTGATAATAATATGTTGTTATCAGTTTACTATAATGCACCATTTTCAACAATTGATGGGTTAAAATTAGAACAAGTAGGAAAAGTACAAGTGGGCAGTTGGGTCGTGTGATAACCTTCGACCCGGGGGTATGAGACGGTACACGCGATACTATGTAGTACCTACTTACAATCGCTTATTAATACTTATATCTTTGTTGGCCGATAAACGTGGCCAACTTATAGTAATCGTTAAGCCTCCGCGTTATCTAGCGATACTGGATGTTAGACATAGAATGTCTTTTAAGTAAACATATTTACGGCTGGTAACTAAGACCATAAATTCGATGAAACGATTTTTTATTGTAACTATATATAATCTATCCATATGTAGGTATATCAGTTCTCACACAGTGACACAGCTAAAGGCCGACGGGAAATGAAAATAGTAAATAACGAAAATAGGATTAAGATACTATTTTAATATGCTGTAAAACTGCAAAAGGCATCAATACAAATGCAATAAGATAAAGATAGTAATAATAATATATATTTACATGTATACTTACAAATACTTTTCAGCGATGACGCAAAACGTTCTAGCAAGTCGGCTATTATCGGAAAATCCTTTGATAAAGTACACTAGACTACGCACACGTGACATTCAATCTTATGATAATGTAAATACGTCAATGTATATCTAGACAGGCTGTCCCGAATGAAATAATATACCTAATATACCCATTATTCAGCCGCTGTGATTCATTAAACATTAACTTCTTTCAATAAAAGAAAAACATTAATGAAAAAAAGTAAATACATTTAAAAATGAACTAAGAAAGCGATAAACTCAAAACCTTACTTTTTTCACCTATAAAAATAGTTGGCCTATCTTTATAATTTATCTATCATTTTTTTATTATCTAAATGAATACTAGGCTTAGGTTTATCTATTTGTTTCTTTATCAATTATATTTAAAAACAAGGAGTGAAATACAAGTACTAATATTTTGGGTTTTTGCTTAAAAGTTGTTGAGTCATCTTGACTGTACTTTTTTGAATATAAATAGGTAATATTAATAATATCTTAGGTGTAATCACTTAATAGGTTGTATTAGAAGCGTTGAGATGGAATTTGTCGACGTTATAGGCTATCAATAGCGATTTTGGGGGCACGCTCCAGATCAAAATTATATCTGGAGCTAATTTTAATCCATTTTAGAAAAACCTCCTTGCCTATACTCGGCGAGTTAACTTACCTATTTATAGAACTTGCTTTCCTAAGCCTAAGTACATCTAGGACTTAAGATAAACCTACATACTAATTGCAAGTCAAACTCAGACATGCATAAATATTCATACTAAGTAGAAACTAATGTTCGTCCTTAATCTAAATTGAAAAGTTGTACTGCAAAAGAGCAAGCAATTTACCCATAAAAAGTCTCCTTTTAACAAATTCCTTAAACAAACGTTAGCTAACTTAATGTATGAGTTAACTTCGAATTAAGTAACAACAACGGGACTTTTCTTTAACTTTTACAATAAGTAATTTCACGTGGGCGGCGCCGTCGGCTGTTCGTAGGTAACTCCCATTGTGATAAAAGTAATCCCTTTTTATAAATATGGATATTTTGGTCAACAACTTACAGTTTATTCTGAAGGGTGGCTTTCGACCCTTTTCAGGTAAACACACTTGAGCCATAAATGTTACAAATCAGGTACGGGACGGGGGACGGGTTGTCCGTAGAGGACGCTTGCTAAACTTGCCCTTGTTTGTGTTATTTTAATAATTTCTTTGTCACACTGTCAATAAGGTTTATTATGGCGAAGTCATTTATGCTGTAAAATAGTGAGAGATGGAGAGTCTCCAAGCCGACCTTAACCTAGTTGGGGTATAGACCACAGTGAAAGAATGATGTGCGAATATTATTTTGACCAATAGGCATTGGTTTTACAATGTGACAGTCATCTTTGTTTATGGATAGGCATATTTGGCGTCTGTACTAAAACAACAAAGCATTGTTTGACAAGGCTCGGCAATACACGTGTTCATATTTATAAAAAGGACTAGCTAAAATTCTAATCACAGTTTGTCCTGTAGACTATACATATAATGAAAAAAGAATAAAAAAATATTTACAAAGGCGTACCTAGTAATACCTCACGTACCTATCTTTACACTATTGTCTACGATAAAAATATTTCCTTGAAATACTTTATCAATAAAAATCTTGGGTTTACCTAAAATACTTATAGTAAAAAATACGCAAGTATTTAATTAATCGTTTCTACCTAATTCACTTGATAAGCGTTTTATCTTTAAATCCAGGTGCTGTTACTAAATGAAAAATATTTCGTATTTTTATCAATTAAACTTATCTGTTTGTACTGATGTATACGGATCTAAGGATTGAAACTATATCAATATTAACTTTGACAAAACCAAATTGATAAATAAAGTACAAAAAATACTACGAACTACGTTGGTTACGTCCAAATATCGATATTACGTATTCAGTAACTTTTTGTGATGTTATCTTAATCCGTCAAGTACTTAGTAAATACGATAGAAAGACAAACCATTCTATACTACATAGAGAAGAGATTTAAAAATAATTAAGTATTGCGTAACAATAACAGTATCTAATATCGTATCCTCGGACCCGACGTCTGAATATCGATAAGATTAACGAGTATTACGATGCACACTTAACGCTAATCGATTTCGTCCTGTATCCGTGCATATACATAAAATTAGCCTGTCGACTGTCGTGCTTACTGCTGATATACAACGCGTTATTACCAACCGCTTATTACTAACTAACAGTAATTCGACTCTGCTAAGGGTGCATGATACCTATTAAATAAACGAGGACCATTTGTCAGATAACAAGCGGCGGTTGCAAAGAAAACAAAGAGATAACATAGTTTGTGTCACAAATAGTGTTACATACACACACATTGATGGTAGAGGCGTGCATGTAGGCGCGGCGTGCGTATGTGTGCGGCACGTTATCAGGCCCGAGCTACCGCGCCCGCCTACGTAGCGATATCTGCCGGTATCAGCTGTATTAGCAACGATAATACCTCGCATACTTACAGGTATTCGTATGCATACACATATTATTTAGGTACATAACCACATGTAGGTATATCATACATAACGGACATGAATGAATGCTACGTTTTAAACTACATAAAACTAGTTGGCAAATAATGAGCTACTGGAACTGAATCGTGTTCGAAGTTTATTTAAAAGTAGATAGAATGATGTTTTAATAGAGTCGGTTGATGAGGCAGGCTCAAAGGGAATGGGAGTCTCCATTGCCGTCTAGTTTATAGACAGATTGACACGTTTCAATCACTTATTAGAAGCTGGATTATTATTATTAGCCTAGGCGAACTCACAGAGATAAGCAGAACCAAGACCTGTACCTAGAACCAATAAAATTCTAGATAGAATCCCGACCTATCTTCTTAGTAAATTAGCTTGAGATAAGGCCTTTCAATTAGTAAGGATATATAATAAAACTAGCTACTCTCGCGCGGTTTCACCCGCTGCTCAGCTCCAACAGATCCTAGCGTGATGTTTTATAGCCTATGGCACTCAGGAATATTAATTGTACCTAGCTATCTATCAGTGAAAGAATTTTGGAAATCCGACCAGCGGTTC